AGGCGGGGTGAACTCATCGTGGCCCCATATGTATGTGATAGGTGAGTCTTCTCTCCACACGGTCAAAACCATAAGTAAATGACGCTAGACCTCCTACATGCATTCCCATCCCCTCCGCAGCCCCCCTCCCCCCTGTCATCTAGAGAGTGTGAGATCCCTCCTTTTTAATTGTCGGGACATCACCCATGTCGATGGGGGGAACCCTCTGTTTGCACACAAGGAACCCGACAGGACCATATGTACATGGCGGCGAAACCATCGCCCCCGCATGTGCATGCATGATTAGGCATCTCTCGAAAGAACCAAACCCCCCTCCCCCATCTCAACGATGGGGAACCCTCTTTTTTATTGTGTTATACCCTCACACACACCGATATGAGGAACCCCCTGATACGCGTGAGGAACATTCACGGGACAGCACTACCAGAAACGTATGTTGGTTTCACATTTGATACCATAGCACCGAATCGATCCCGTTGTCATGTCATTCTTTTTGTGATTGACGAGACGTGTCAAAACCATATGTATATGGATAGGCGAGTCTTCTTATTCGCACGGTCAAAACCATACGGATATGACGCCAGACCTCCTATATGCATTCCCATACCACCCCCACCCCCACCCCCGATGCCTTGCAATCTCGAGAGAGAGAACCCTCCTTTTAATTGTCGGAACCTCACCTGCACCGATTCGGGGAACCCTATTTTTGCGCGTAAGGAACCTTGCAGTAGGGGGGGGGGGTAAACTCATCGCGTCACCCTGCAGGACAGTTCTCCCCTTTTTTCCATTTTCCAATCAGCCCCCGTACGTGCATGTTTAGGCATCTGCCGAAAGAATGAAACAACAACGACGTCTATTGGGGCAACCTTCCTTTTGCGCGCAATGAACCATGCAGCACCCCATGTGCCTATATGCAGTACCACCCCACAAGTCCCCGTCATCTCGAGAGCGAGAACCGTCCTTGGGGGAACTCTCTGTTGCGCGCGAGGAACCTTGCATGACCATATGTATATGGCAGCGACACAATCGCCCCTGCATGTGGCCCCACGGCAGGGGGACCGTCGCCCCCTTTTTTCCATGTTTAGGCATGCCTCTAAAGAACCAAAAACAACCCGCAAGGAACCTGGCAAGGCCATTTCAACCTTTTCACATCAAAATGAATCCTTTGAAAAATTTCAGAAAATCTTTGGAGCCTTCTTTATATTTTATTCAAATGCATTCCAAAATCCTTGTCAACCTCCTTGAAAACCCTGTTCATTTTTCTGGCCCGAGCTTGAGCTTCGAAACTTTACCATAATTTTGTTCTCACTTTCCCAGCTTCGTCAAATGTTTCATGATCTTTGTATGCTCCTAACTCATACCCATAGTTCAAACCTTTTTGAAAATAAAATCAACTACTTTTGAATTTAATTTACCAACTCATGTGTTTTTTGTTATGTGTGGCTAATTATACATCATTTCTATACCAAATTTGTATATAAACAATTAAGCGGGGGACCAAAACACTAGGGGTGCAAGCACCACTTGTGCATGCGTCTCAGAGTCTTAAACCGATTATACCAGGTTTA